TTTTCTTTTTTCTTTTTGGTCCTGCTTCAAAAATGATGACTGATTTTTAAACTGAAATAAAATTCGTAAAATAATAATAATAATTACTGACTTCATCCACGCCTGTGTCGGTGTTATAAAAAAAGATTTCAGGATTATTAATGTCAGCTGAGGCCTGAGGTTAAATTAAAATCTAGGAAAGGTTTAAGTGAAATCTTTTTCTGCCAGCATTTCTGGGTCTCAAAACTTCAAACGGCTCTGAATCCCGGAAACCAAGAGTATGTCGTCGAAACATTTTCAAGTTTCTAGTCCACAAGGCTGCCGATGCCCCGCTTAGGAATTACACCCACCAAAATCTAAATGTACATAAAAGCCAGGATGTCAATTAAATGAAATGTACAGTTCTTTCAGGCCCTGGTCGCATGCAACATGCACACACACAAATTATTCCAGAATTTTGATGTTGAAAAGCGTTTTAGTACTAGTAAAAAAAAAATTATTATTATTTTTTTTTAGATTTCTGGGCCGATTCTTTGAATCGAAGTCGTTAAAAACCATCATGTAAACTGCGCCCCTTTGTGGGCCACATAAAAGACATAGAAAGCGAATCAAATGAAGGCTAGGGCCGTTTCATCGAATAAATCAATTTATTTAAAAGAATATGTTACAATTAGTTGTACTAATTGATTCTTACCAAACATTTTTTTTTTTGTTTTTGTTTTAGAGTAGTTAGCTCTAAAGATGAAGAATGCCCTGGGCTCCCCCCTCCCCTGCCCCCTCCCAAATTTCTCCAAGCCCTTTCTCCCTTCTTCTTCGCCAAGACAGTCCTTCTTCACACCCCGAAATCACAGACAAAAAAAAAAAAAAAATAACAAGGAATATGCAGTGAAAAATTACAATTAGAAGTCTGTCAAATAAATTAAAACAGTGAGAGACGCACACGGAGAGCACCAGAGAACCCAGGGCTTAAAGATACATATATATATATATATATATCTTTATTTATATATACTTTTTGACTCGAACCAAGATTTGTAAAAGAATAAAGAAAAGGAAATTTGAGGGAGACGGAGACGGGGTTTTTTTTTTTTTCAGCCTATAATCTTTGGAGAGCAGACTGGGATGTTAAAAACAACTCACAACTCCTGGTAACAGAAAGAAAGAACCGAACTTTTAAAAAAACAGTGAAAAAACACCAGTGGGTTCTTCTTTGCTAACAAAATGCTGTGGTTTTTAAATGTTGCATCCTTAAAGAGAAAGGGAGAAGGGAACACACACACACACACACAAACACACACGCAGACAGACACAAAAGCCGTTTGATTTGCACAGAAACGGAGTAATTTTTGCAACTCCAAACTGGCATTCGTGGTTGCGGGAAACCAAGCCAAGACACGGTTTTGATGGAGAAACAAACTGTTACCCAACTGTTACTGAGAGTTGCTGGTCCTTCCTGCCCCCCCACCCCTCCTCACCTGCGAGTCCCTTCGGACCCCTCCCACCTCTTGGAAACCTGCACCCAAGAGCACCCAAGGGCACCCTGGCAGGGCGGTTGTGAATCAGACCAGCATTCCTGAACCGATGTCCTCAAATCCCCCGTTAAGAATGGAGAGGGAGGTGGGGGGGGATGTTTTTTTGGCTTTGGCACTCTCCAAGATATATGACTTCCAATGGAAGACCCTCCGTCTACTAGCGCGGCCCAATGTGGGAGGCGCACGGCCAAATTTGCACTCTGCGCAGCCCGATTGGCGCTTTAAGAAATGAGGATTGCCCACGCTCTCCGCTTTTTTATGGTTGCTTGGGCTAAAGCAAGGGGCTAGTCCTTAAGGAGATGTGCCCTTCCAGTCCATCCTAAGCGCTGATAAAACGTCCAGTAGGATCCGGGAACGACTGCACGCTTTTTAGCGCACTTAGAAGCATCTCTCGCCATCGGGGGCGCACAGCTATCGTTAGTTTCTTGCCACCATGAGGTCTGGTGGGCGCCTTATTTTACCATCCCAGGCACTAAATAGTCCCCAAATAGTCATGTCTGTCTGCAGGAGTGTTTTTGTGGTTAGCAACTGGCAACCCAGGGACAAGTGAGGCCTCAGCTCCCGCGTGACGAATTAGCAAAAGGGCTTTGGCAGGGGGGGTAAAAAAATTTTTTTTAATTTCCCAGGCACAGAGACAAACTCTGCCCCATCTCAACGCCTTGTTAAGCCGGTTGCAATGTCTACTTTCGGATTCCTGGAAAGGAAAAAACTAAATTACTTCTTCTTTCTTCAGCCAAACAGAACCAATGTCAAGCTATGAAACCAAGGAAGCTGTAAATGCCACAAGGGGGAAGCGACAAGCAGAGAAGCTGGATTTTGCAAAGGACTTAAGAGGATTTTCCCCCTCCACCGCTGTATATGTGTGTGTGTGTGTGTGTATATGTATATATATGTGTGTATATATATATATATATATATATATATGTAAAATCCAAAGGTTGGGCGAGAAAGCTCCCTCTTTTTCCTCCCCACCCCCCAAAAGTTTCAACTTCAACCTTTCTTAAGCTGCCAATGAAAATTCCTTGCAAGAAAGGCTGCAGAATCTGGGCTGGTTTTGGTTTTAAACCGGGTTCAAATTGTGCCTCCCCGGGAGCTCCGATGCGGCACACAAAAAGGGAAGCGCCGATTGGAAAGTCCCTCTAATGTTAACAGCCTCAATATGAAAAAAAAAATTATATATATATATATCCATATATATGTGTGTATATATATGGGCGTGATAAGTTTGTCTCTATATATATATATTTGTTTTTTGTTTTTTTTACATACATACATATATATTTCAGACAGTGCAAATGGATGTCAGGGTTGTTAAAAGAAAAACGGGGGGCTGGAAATGTTCAACAGGGGCCTCAGAAAATGTCTACCCCCCCCCCCAAAATGAAAAAATGCTGGAAACAAGAAACCAGGTGCCCCTCCCCCCAACCTTGTTCTGGATCACGGTGGTTTCCCTGCCCTCCCCTCCCCTCCCCTCCCTCTCCCTCTCCCCCCTGCTTAACAGGACATTCACGAATGGAATTAATATGAGTTTAATACAGTAAACCGTTCCCCTCTTTCTCGAACCTCTTTTCTTTTCTCCTCGTTTTTGAAAAGTGTTAATGTTTTGTGTTTTTTGTTTTCCAGGAAGGGTTTTGGGGTGGGGGAGGGGGGGGAAAAGGGGGGGGGGATAATACGCTTTTCGGTCGGCCGGTCGGTTGTCCGAAGCGGATTCAAGTCGTGATGTCCCGTTGCTCTGTCCGCATTAACTGGAAGATGTTCTGGAAGAGAGAAAAAAGGAGGGAGGAGGAAGAGGAAGAGGGGATGAAGGAAAGAGGCTGAAAACGAGTGTGCCTGTGTGGGGAAGGATTTCCTCGAAGACAGACAGTTTGGTCCAGGGGTTTAAGGCGCCGGAGCAGAAACCGGGAGACGGGGAGTTCCGGTCCCAAAACTTAGGTAGGAAAGCCGGCTGGGTGACTTTAAGCCGATGGCCAGGAGACGGGGAGTTCTAGTCCAGATTTCAGCACGGAAGCTAACTGGGGGGCTTTGGGCCAAGCACCAGGAGACGGGGGAGTTCTAGTTTCGCCTTAGCCATGAAAGCCGGCCGGGTGACTTTGGGACGGGGAGTTCTAGTCCTGCCTTAGGCACAAAAACTGGCTGGGTGAGTTTGGGCCGATCGCCGGGGAGTTCTAGTCCTGCCTCAGGCATGAAAGCCCAGCTGGGTGACTTTGGCCCAGTCCCTCCCTCTCGGCCCAGCCCACCTCGCAGGGTGGTTGTTGTGGTCTCTTCGCCGCCCTGAGTTATGGATAGAAATAATAACGGCGGGCTATAATTAAAAATAGTTAAAACAAACGGCCAAGCGCTCCTCACCTTGCTGCACAGGTTGTCTTTACTGCAGTTCTTGTTGTCCTTGTCGGTGGCTTCCTCCTCCACCTTTCAAAGGAAGATTACGGCTGAGTGGCTGAGGCAGGCCAGGCGCAGGGCGTTCTAGTGCCCAGAGGGCCCAGAGGGCTCTGGTCTTCCGCGGGAAGCCTCGCCTGGCTTCTAGGGGAGGGAGGGAGGGGAGAGGTCCCCACTGGGTGACACCGGCCCTCCCCAGCCCCTCCCCACCTTCACCTCCTTCCGCCACTTCAGTTCGCAGAAAATGCGCTCGAAACACTCGTGCATGTAGTTGAACTGCAGGGAGAGGAAAAATCCCAAATTCAGGGCCCTGGGGCTTTAACCCAGCGCCTTCCTCTGGCTTGGGTTCTAGAGGGAGGCCCCCCCCCCCCCCCCCCCCCCCCCCCCTGCCCGCCCCCCCCCTCGGGCTTACGTAAGGGGTGAAGATTTTGACCCATCGTGGCTTCTTCTCCCCTCGCGCGTATTCGAAGCAGAAGGCCATCCCTTCTTCGTCCGTGTCCCACCGCTGCATCTCGTCCCATTCGAAAGCGATGACTTGATTCTGGAAGAATCCCAGCGGGATCAGGGCCAGATCTGGAAGGGGAGCACCACCCCCAACCACCCCAGGGGATCCAGAGGTGGGGAACGCGGGAGGCTCGGAAGGGTCAAGCATGTCCGCTGCCCCAGGGCTTCCCAAAGCGGCGAAGCGGTGTGGACGCCAACTCCCAGAATCCCCCAGCGCCAGCATGGGGGATTCTGGGAGTTGGAAGTCCACCAGATGAAAGTTAATCCCCATTTTGGGGTTCAACGGCCCCCCCCCCCCGCCCAGCCCAACTCAGCATGTACACACCTAAACTCCTTTTCCCAAATTCCCATTCTGAGTAACAGAATAACAGAGTATGGTAAGGGTCAATTGGAGGTCCTTTAGTCCACCCCCTTGCTCAAACAAATGGCTGGCCAATCTCCTCTTGGAAGCCTCCAGTGATGGGAGCACCCAGGACTTCTGGAGGGGAAGTCCTTCCGCTGGTTAATGGTCCTGATTTCGCCTTAATTCCGGGTTGCTTTTCTCCCTGATTGGTGCCAACTTCACCCTCTGGGAAATCTTTGGTTGTGGTCCGCTGGCAGCCTGCGGAGACGGCAGCAGAGTCGGACAGCGGGGGAGGAAGAGGGGCAACTCCGGGAGTCGGGGGAGGACTCGGGTCCAGGGCCTGATGCAGACATGGGCCCAGGGCCATCTGGGAGTGGTGTGCCGACTCCGGAGCCTCCAGAATCTGACAGCAGCGAGGAAGAGGAACAGAGGGAGCCTGTTCCCAGTGTGCGCATGCACAGAGCTGCCAGAAGGCAAGAACGGTTAAGACAAAAGGGGCGACTCGGGAGTACGGCTTGGAGGCGATTGGCCCCTCCCATTAAGACATCAAAAGGAGGAGCAAAGAGACAGGAGCCTTTGCAGGAAGCAACTTTGCTCGTTCTGGTTGGTTGGAAACCTGAAGCTCCGTGTTGAATTTGTGTTCCGTGTTGGCTTCGTTTAACTAATTGGACATTTAGTCGTCGGCAGCCTTTCAAAGGAGATAAATGTGCGTGCTTATCAGACTTATCCCAAGGGATTTTGGCAGGCTTCCGTGGGACTGTTTACAAACTGCGTGAGACTCGTGACGGGCTGTGAATGACTAAAATTCACAGCCGTGGAAATCAAGAACAAAAGGGTTTTGGGGAACTAGTGTGTGTTTGTGAGTGTCTCCATAAGCCTTGGTCAGAACAATCTGCCCCCAAAGATTTTCCACCACAAACGTGAGATGTTACAACATGAACCCTTTGGCAATGCCATGAGTATTTTTTCCCCCCGCTCTTTTCCTACCCTCTCCTCCTCCTGCTCCTCCTCATCTCTCGGGGTGGGAGCTTCGTCTCCCTTCCCAGACAGATCTGGAGGGTTGAGAGGGGGAGGGGGAAACAGGTGAGGACCCCATCCCCCCCAGAGCTGACCTCGAGCTGGCCCTCCTCGGTGCAAGCGTGGAGCTTAAAGTGCTGGATGCTGATGGCTGTGATGACGTGGCCCTTCCGGCGAGAGTCGCAGGAGCAGTGAGGGAAGACGATCTCGTTGTAGCCCTCGCATGTCCGCAACATGTTCAAGTACTGCGGGACAGAAAAATGGGGAAAGGGGTGTGTGTGAAAGATTTGGAGGAAGGGGTCTCCCCACCCACCCAGGCTGTCAACTCATAAACTGTTTCTATGGTTGGTTAGTACTTTCTCCGAGAGTCGTGGAGGGGCCACTTGGAGGTTGATAGGTGCCCTGAGGGTCACCTGAATCCTTTAGCCGGGGGACCTCCAAGCGGCCTCAACGGCACTCAGAGAGAGCGCTAATGACCAGAGGAACTGCAAGGAATAGAAATCCTTCCACCCTCCGGCATTCCATCAGAACCTGAGGAAGCCTCCTGGATGAGGAGCGAGACCTCTTCGAAGAAAAACAAGAAAGTCCAGTGGCCTTTTGAAAGACAGAACCTTTTGGGACAACTATGACCTGGGTGACCCAGAATCTCCAGAGACGTTTCCTGCCGGAAGCGGAGAAGACCTTACCATAACCATCTTCCTCTGTTCTCCAAGCTTCTGCAGCTGGTAGGACTTCTCCTCGGCTTTGATGTAGCCTTTCTTCACATCATCGACTGCCTGGGTGGGAAAAAAACATGGGATCAAGGGACAATTCCCCCCTCCACCACCAAAAAGGAGGGGGGGGGTTCTGCTGTTCTACAATCCCTCCTCCCTCCTCTGTAAGTGCGTCAAGTGCGTCTAGTCCTCATGGCGGGAGGTGGCCGATCAAGTCAGAGCTGAAGAGGGACGAAGGAAATAACGCTAAAAGGAAGGAGAGGATCCCCTTCAGTTTCTTCTGGTCGGTGGTGATGGTAGGAAGATCCGTTTCTGCTCCTTCCCCTCCCCCCCTTCTTGATCTCATGGGAGGGGTCACTCGACCCTCCTTTGAATCTCGGAGGGCTTCCCGAGCAGAGTAAGCTTCTACGCTCCGCCGCGGTCGCTCAAGAGGGTCCCCGTTGGACCGAGGGAGGTTGACGCTCTCCGCTCCCTCGCTCTTCTGCTCCTCGCGCCCTCCGGCCCTGGTCCCTGAACGAGAGACCCCCTAGACTTCACCCAGAGAGGACACCCCACCCCACCCCGCCTCGTGGGGGGAGGGGAGGGGGGAGCTGAGGGTCACCTGAAGGGGGTCCCACCTGGTGGAAGAAGTAGGTGACGGCCAAATCGTTATCGTTCAGGAGAACCTCTTCCTCGGTCGTGAAGAGCCACTTCCTGATCGTCAGGCAGGTGCCCGGCACGGCTGAGGTGTAATTCTGCACGTAGAGCTTGTGGGGGAATTCGTTGGGTGCCAGTTTCCTCACTGGGGGAGGGAAACGAAGAGAAATGGGGGTTGGCAGAGGGGAGTCCCCCCCCCCCAAGAGAAGACACGGACGATTGATTCGTATGTTAGAATTTTACCCTGTTATTTTATAAATATCTCAATATTCCTTCCCACTCCTGTTTCCCCCCCCCCCAGGACAACAACCCTGTGAGGTGGGCTGGGCTGAGGGTGAGGACGGGCTCGAAGGCACCCAGCTGGTTTCGCAGGGCTGAAGGACGCTCAGCTTCCTTACTGGG